CACTTGGTAGCCCAGGCTGGCCTCGAACTCACAGAGATCCGCCTGGCTCTGCCTCCCGAGTGCTGGGATTAAAGGCGTGCGCCACCACCGCCCGGCGAAGGCTACTTTCTAGAGTTGATTCTCTTTTACAATGTGAGTTCTGGGGATTGAACAACTCAGATCTTCAGGTATGGCAGGAAGTGTCTTATTCATTGAGCCATCTAGTCGGCCCTCAAGAGAGTTTTGATTTGCTTTTTTTTTTTTTTTTTTTTTGAGACAGAGTTTCTCTGTGTAGTTTTGGTGCCTATCCTGGATCTCACTCTAGACCAGGCTGGCCTCAAACTCAGAGATCTGCCTGGCTCTGCCTCCCAAGTGCTGGGATTAAAGGCGTGAGCCACCACCACCCGGCTTGATTTTCTTTTTTGTAAGATTTTTAGCTGGGTGGTAGTGGTGCACACCTTTAATCTCAGCACTTGGGAGGCAAAATCAGGCAGATCTCTGAGTTTGAGGCCAGCCTGGTCTACAGAGTAAATTCCAGGACAGCCAGGGCTTCACAGAGAAACCCTGTCTCAAAAAAACAAAACAAAACAAAACAAAAAAACCCAAACAAATAAAAACAATCATCCAAACAATAACAAAAGATTTATTTTTACTGTATGTTTTTGCCTACATGTACATCTGTACACCACTCCTGTATTGTGTCCTCTGAGGCCAGAAGGCATCAGATCTCTTGGAAATGGAGTTACGGATGGTTGTGAGCCACTAAGAAGGTGCTGGGAACCAAACCCAGGTCAGCTGGAAGATGAACCAGTGAGTGCTCTTAACCACTGGACAATCACTCCAGCCTCTGACTAGATTGAAATAGGGTCTTGCTAAGTTGCCTAGGCTTGGCTTGCCTTGGCTCTGCCAATGCTGCTTAATCCTCTCAGTAGCTGGAATTCGATGGGTGCCACCAAGCCTGGTATAAATTTTTTTGGTTCTTTTGATAAGAGAGAGTGCGAGAGCAAGTGTGGAGGTCAGAGGACAACTCTCAGGAATTGATTCCATCCACTTGTCCTGGGGATCAACAGGTGTTGTTAGTTGTTTTTTCCTCTTGTTGAGGGGCCTGCCACCCAGCTCCCAAATAAATCAATCATACACAGAGGCTTATTCTTAATTATAAATGCCTGGCCTTAGCTTGGCTTGTTTCTTGCTAGCTTTTCTTAACCTAAATTATTCTGTCTACCTTTTGCCTCTGGGCTTTTTCTTTTTCTTGCTTCTATATATCTTACTTTCATTCTTACTCCATGGATGGCTGGGTGGCTGGCCCTTTGAGTCCTTCTCTGACTACTTATCTCCCTTCTTTTCCCTTTCTCTCTTTTCCCACTTCTATTTATTCTCTCTGTCTGCCCCACCTATCCTTTCTCCTGCCTTGCTATTGGCTGTTCAGCTCTGTATTAGACCAATCAGGTGTCTTAGGAAGGCACAGTAACACAGCTTCATAGAGTTAAACAAATGCAACATAAAGGAATGCAACACATCGTTGCATCATTCAGGCAAATGTTCCACAGCATAAACAAATACAACACACCTTAAAATAATATTCTACAACAAACAGGCTTGGTAGCAAACTACTTTACCTCCTGAGCCATCTCAGCTCAGAGGATGACTTTGAAGTCCTCATCTTCCTCCTGCCTTCACATTACCACATTACAGGATTGCAGTGCCAAACTCAGGTTAAGACCTTGTATTACAAAACAAGCCTTGGGGCTGGAGAGATGGCTCAGTGGTTAAGACTATGTACTGCTCTTACAGAGGACCTGAGTTCAATTCCCAAGATCAGGCAGCTTACACCTGCTGGTAACTCCAGCTCCACAGAATAGCCCTAACCCTGATATTGCATTCACATATACAGACATACACACATGTACATGCACATATTCAGACGTACACATAAAAAAAAAAAAAAAGGCTTGGAGCTCAGTGGCTAAGAGTGCTTAATGCTTTTGCAGAGGACCTAGGTGTGGTTCCCAGCCCACTTAGTGGATCACAACCACCTGTAACTCCAGTTCTAGGGGCTCTGATGCCCTCCTCTGGCCTTTGGAGGTTCCTGCATCTATGTAGTGCACATAAACTCACAAAGATAGATACAAATACACATATAAATAACATTCTTAAGTTTGTTTCAGAGGACTAAAGTGGGAAATGAGGGGCCAGGTGTGGCACATGCCTTTAATTCCAGCTCCTAGGAGTCAGAAATAAGAGATCTGAGTTAGAGAGTAGCCTTGTCTAGATGGCAGATTCCAGGTGGGTCAGGAATACGTAATAAGACCTTGGGTGATAAAAAGGAAAGCAAGAATTGAGGTAATAGACACAACGTTCAGGGTACCCATCATAGATGAATCAGTCAGCACTAGTGTCTTCTAGTGAGGGTCTGCGTTTCCTTTTTGGGTACAGGCAGCAGGGAGGTGCCTTCCTCTTTTCAACTCCTAGTTAAACTTCTTTAAGAATTTTGCTGGAATAGGTTCCAGTGACCAGACTAGAAAACATGATGCCGATGTATGGCTAGCAGGATGTGTCTATCTCTACTGATCCCTCCTGCGACCATGGCCTGATCGGCACTGTCCGGGGCACTGTCTGACATGGAAGGTCACACATGACTAAGTTTAACACAGTTATAATTAAGTTACTGAGTTGCACCACCTACCAACATTTCAAAGTATTCAGTAGCTACATGTATCTAACGGCTATATTCCTGTGGATACAGCACCTTTCCATCAGAATGAACCCTGCTGTACTTTTCCCACAAAGGTAGCCTCAGATCTACTTTGCCAACTTTCCACTTAAAGTAAAAAAATAAAAAATTACATTTACTTATTTATCATGTGTGTTTGGGTGTGGGCACAATGGGTATGTGGAGGTCAAAGGACAACATGTTAGCAGTTCTCTTTCTACTAGGTGAGCCACAGGGATTGAACCCAGTTCTTCAAGTGCCTTTTACCCTCCAGGCCATCTCATGGCCCTTAAATCTTTTTTTTTTTTTTTTTTTTTTTTAATTTAAATCTAAGGGGAAAATGTTGCCTTTGTTTTGAATTACGGGTTAACTTCTCAGGGTGACTCCTAGGACATTTCCTCTAGTTTAGCCTCGGTCTTTTCGTCTGTAATATGGAGATAATTCCCCAATGCTGGTGAGGAAAAACTAAGACGATATAAAGTATCAAGTACACAGTTAATTTGTCTCAACCTGCTTACTCCATGTATAGTCTGTGCAGAAAAGGTAATTTTTTTTCCCCTCATTCAGACTTGGGGTGAGAGCGCTTAACGAAGTCTTATCCAGATTAACAATATTCCAGCCAACTATTTGGGGGGGGGGAGGGGAGGTTCAGAAGATTTTCGGGAAAAATTAAATACGGGGTGGGATACTCGAGATAGATTAGATAGATGTTTTGGTAGGGAAGTGGCGTTTGGGGATGGCGAGGACACCGACAGTCCTTCCGCACGAAGGGGGTCTTGGAGTGAGAAGACCTGAGACTCGTCCAGCTCTCTTTCGGCCCCCCGAACGTGACGAGAAACCCACCCTTTGCAGCGCCAGGCGCCGTGCCTCACTTTCTCCATTTGCGGACTCCAGTTCCCAGGATGCAGAGCAGCGGCCAATC